AAAAAAAAAAAAAAAAAAAAAAGGGGGGGGGGGCTCAATAGCCATGGAAATAATTAGAAAAGTTGCAGGCATTAGAGCAGTAATAAGGGTGGGAACAGGATCTGAAACTGATCTGCTGAAGTGCTTGCAGGTATTCGATCTGCCTTGGCTTGCTCACAGGGTTGGCGAAAGGTTCAAGTTATCTGTGTTCAGTCCACTCTTATTCTTGTTTGGTCACTGTGGGGCTGCTCACACGAGTCTTTCATGAGCAATCTGTTGCCTCCTGTGCAGACATTTGACAAGCAGGGATTCCACGCTGGCACACCGCCCCCCTTCAGCCTGCCCTCTGCCCTCGGATCCACTGGGCCCCTGAACCCTGGTGCTGCCCCAGGTTACGCTCCAGCCCCTTTTCTCCATATCCTGCCTGCGCATCAGCAGCCTCATTCCCAGATGCTGCATCATCATCTTCAGGAGGATGGGCAGGTGAGTCAGCCCCCTCCACCCTTACGCAGTGCCTGAGTGCACATTGCGCCTGCCCACCCCCAAGGCTGCTGCTCTGGGCTTTGCTCCTTGGGAAAGTGCTTTGCTAGTGACTGTAGGCTGCTTGTGGGCCGGGGGCTTGTGGGAGGATGAGCCCTGCTCTAAGGAGGCTCTTCTGACGTGGGACACAGACAGACATGGGCAGTGGGGAAAGAAGCTGAGGCAGCCACTGCCTTTCCCTGGCCAGGACATGGAGAACAGGGATTCAAATACTTGCCCTGTAAGTCTGGGGAAAAAAGCAAGTGTCCCCTTGCAAATTGTGTGTCAGCTCCTATTTCTGATTTGGTTTTGCTGCCCATTGCATTTGCCTTCCTCTCTATAAGTGTTCCCTGAAAAACAGTGTCCAGAAATAGGAATGACTTCTGTGCTGAACATTTGACATCTTTGGTGCATTGTCTTCATTCACCTTGAGAAAGCTCTTTGCCAGTCCCCAGGCCTGCTGTTCTCTTCCCTTGTGATCCCAGGCCTCTGGCAACATTACAGAGAAAACCATCTGCTGATGGAGGGCAGTTTTTTTTTTTTTTTTTTTTTTTCATCCAGGCCTCCATCATCTCCATAGTCCTCTGGAAGGTGGCTGTCACCCACTGCAGTGAAGGGGGTGGCAAAATCCATGTGTCCAGGGGCTCCTCTGGCTCTTCTGGCCCTTCCTGGCTGTGGGCAGCCCCTCTTGGTGGCTCTTGGCACCTTCCTTGCAGTGGGGGGGGGTGACTGCCTCCTTTTCCGGGACTGACTTGTCCCAGATAACAGGGGCACAATGGATGTTCCCCCTTGTCCTCTGGTGACTGTTTGTCTTGGGCTGTGAGACCTGGAGCTGTTGAGGAGGAGCAGAAATGGCCCCACGGAGCCTGGGTGGCCTTGATGGTGTCAGTGCAGCCTCCATGGCACCTGTGCCCTGATGGTTGTGTCTCTGTCCTCTTCCCGTTCCTAGGGGGGATCTGGCCAGCGCAATCAACCCAGCACCATGCAGCAAAAGTCTCAGGCTACCAAAACCGCCTATGGCACTTCTCCATACTGGACAAACTAAATCCGGAACCGGGGAGGGGGGAGAGAATGAAATGAAAGGAGGAGGAAATTAAAAAAAAGAGAGAGAGAGAGAAAGAAAAGCCCCTTTCTGGAACTATTAGGAGAAGAATAACTGCTCAGCCAAACATCTGTGTGGGGAGAACTGCAGCCGGCCATCCATTCTCTGTGCAAATTGCCTGCTTCCTCTTTGAGTTGCTGTTCTATGTAATATATTTATGTATGTATTTGTAAATGTAATAGAGCCTAAATGTGGTTTTCTGCATCTTGCAGGCTGTTTTATTTTCTTTGTAGAGAAACTAATTATTAATTTCCCATCTGCACCAGGTGTGTGTGTGTGTGGTTTATTTTATTTTATTTTTTTTTTAAGCGTTGTGGGTTTACTCTGTCAAAGATAAACTGCACCACTTTTATTGGAGCTGGAGCCCATTTATTTAATGCAGTTCTAAATTCAGGCAGAGGAAGGAGGCCTGGCCCCTCCCATAAAAAGAAAAATCAAAATGTGTCCTGTTGTTGGTTTGATTTCTGCCTCCACCCCTCAGTATAGGTGTTATTTTAAAAAGGAGAGGGGGGGAAAAAAAAAAGGTGGTTTCCTTTGTATATCCCTCCCCCCTACTGTGGAAGAGGGGTGGTGTTTTGTTTGTTTTGTGTGGGTGGTTTTTTGTTGTTGTTGTTTTTGTGTGTTTTTTTTTTTTTGCTTCTCTAGCAAGAGCCTTTGGAGAGGGCTCAGTGTGTCCTAGAACCTCCTTTGCATCATTCAAGGCAAAAACAATCAAACACCACCACCCCCAAAAAACTATGTAGCAGTTTTGTAAATAAAAGTATAAGCTGTGTCTTGTACCTCTTCTTGCTCTGACAGACCCTGCCCAGGACAGCCCAGCCTGTGAACATCACCCATCCCCTTCCCACTTCTTTTAAAATGAAGCCTATGGAGGCATCTCCTGGTCCTTCTTGTCCTGCACCAGGGCTGTGCCTGTGTTAAGAGTTTCATTTCTTTTTACCTCTTCTTCCCCTTCCTAGGCTCAGATCTTTATCAGTGCTGTTAGCATTTTCCAAGGCCTGAGGAGTAGTTCTGCTTTTTGCAGCCTTCCCCCTTTGCCCCTTGTGGCCGGGTAGCAGCCAAGTGCTGCTGCCCACTCCGGCGTGGGAAAAGTGGGAGCAGAGTCTGTGTGGGATGCAGAAGGAAGCAACCAAGGTGAGTGTGGGTGGGGACTGCAAGAGCAGGGGCCCTGGGCCCAGCAGAGGGGCTGAGGATGGAGCCTGATGTAATGTTGCACAAGCAGCAAGGAGGGGGTGGGGGAAGCTCAGCACCTACCCCCACCCCTCTTGCTGCCCTGTAAGCACCTAGAGGAAGGGAGTAGTGGGGAGAGGGGTGGGTGCCCTCCTGCCACCCAGAGCTCCTGCTGCCTGATGGGCAGCTCCTGATGGGGCTGAGCAGAACACAGGTGAGGAACTCCTTGGGTCCCAGCTCCACACTGACCCTGCAGGCTTGGAACAGCATGAACAGAGGCTCTGCTCAGCAGCTCTGCTGCTTTAGGGCTTACAGCAAGGACACCTCAGGTACCTGCACCATAGACCTGCTCTCCCACACCATGAGCTTTATTCCTGTGTGAAGCTGGTTTTTTTTTTTTTTTTTTTTTTCTCAAACACCTCACCCAGGCAAGTTTCCCTCTGTCCCTTTTTCTGCAGCTCAGGCAAAACAGGATCTTTTCCATCCTCCTTCTAAGGCAGGTTTCTTTTGCATCAGTTTCCTGTTGGTCCTGGAGGCCCCTTTAGTAGAGAATAAGAAATATATAACCCCCTCTTTTTTTAAAAAAGACCTTTCTGCACAATCCTGGGACTGCTCTGAAGGATCAATATGCAGAGCTTGCTTTAAGATCACTGCTAGTCAAAGCCTTACAAAAAAAAACAACGACAAAAAAAAAAATATGCAAATCAAACAGCTCAATTAACAGAGAAGTAACAAGCCAGAGCTATTTTCATTTCACATTTTTTTATTAGTAGACAGATGTGCAAGACAAAAATCTAGAAAGTAAATACACAACAAAAATGAGAATTCAATCAGGCGGTTCAAAGGCTGTAAAGAAAATATAACCATCTAAAATCTGGGGAAAAAAAAAAAAAAAAAAAAAAGCTGAGAAAAAACACAGCTGGGAGTTCAGCTAAGAAAAACTACTAGGAAATCTATTGTACCCTGCTGGTTTCAGAATGGTTGAAAACTGTATCTGAATGGGGTCAGAGTTGCACATGTAAATACTAATATTGGTTGAGCTGAGAAAACCAGAATGCACAAAGCAAGCATTCTTTTCCTCAATCTCTTAAATATTAAGCTTCAAAAAAAAAATTTCATTTTGTATCTCAAAAAAAAAAAAAAAAGGAAACCAGCAAGTCAGCAAGCAATGACACTGCAAGGGATGGGTGGAGGCATCAGTTTGGTTAAGAGCTCGCTAGTGTTTTTTTTTTTTTTTTTTTTTTTTTTTTTCCCTTCCTCCTCTCGCTTCTTTTTTGCCTTTAAAAAGGGTAACAGCAGAGTCATGATAATGGAACTTAGGCACCATTAAGCATGAAAAAAATTGCAAGTCATTGGCAACTATACAGTGAACATAAAAGTACACAGGAACTCCTGAAAGATGCAGTATCGTCTTCCAAACCAAGCCCTCCACCTAGTCAGGGCTGTGGTAGCTGCTCCACCAGGGAAGACATGCCAGGTCACACAGGCTTCTGGGGAGCTGCACAAGCCAGGGGCAGGGAGGAATATGGCATAACCTGCAGCACAGCCCTGTGTAGGGAGCACTGGGGCTATCTTCTTCCCTGCAGGGCTCAGCCCCAGCACTGCTGTCCTTCAGCAGATGGAACCGAACACACCAAAAAAACACTGTCCCCTCACACTGGCACTGCCATCCCCGCTGCTCCCTGGGCCAGGGCTGCAGGCTGAGCACTTGCCCAGGGCTCCCGGTGCAGTCCCCTGGCAGAATGACCTCACCAAGAACAACCAGGATCAAACGGCCCTGGGCCCATCTTTTAATAACACCACATCTAACAACACGGGCCTGGCAGCAGCAGGGCTCAGCCTGGGAGGCAGGGCTGGCTGCTCATCAAGGACTCATACTGAGGGAAGCTGAGGCCACAGCAGTGCAGCACAAGAGGATCAAGATTCTGGGGGAGGGAAGTGACAGGTTCTACAGAAAGGCGCGTGGAGGAGGCCCTGGGCCTGAGGAAAGCGGGACCCTGGTATTTGCTAAGCTGGGGCGGGGAGAGACAGCTCTACCTTGAGCATCTTCCAGCCCTAGGTCTTCACATCCCTTCCACCTATGGGTCTACAAGACATCCTCAACCCCCAGTACAGCCAGGGCAGGGCTGTAGGAGAGCTTATCTCACAGGGCTAGGGCAGCAGACATCTGCCACCTCATGAGCAGGAAAGGCTCAGGCAGGACCAGAATTCAGCTGCAGGAAGCAGGGGCTGCTAACAAAGGGGGAGGAAGCTGGAACTCCTATTGGTCTCTCCCAAAAAACAGGCACACTAAATGCTAGTCCTAAGGAAGGCTCACATAGCAGGAAGGTGGTCAGCAAAACTCCCCTGTACATTCTCCAACCCCAACCTAGTCTGGAAAAAAAAAAAAAATTTAAAAACACACTAATGGAGGGCTCAGGTGTATAGATGTGAAGAGTTAAGTGTTTATTTCAGGGTTCATAGCACAAGCCTTTTTCAAAGACAAAGCTGATTGTGCCCTCCAAGGGCCACCTACTTCCTAACCTGAGCAGGCTGAAAAGGAATACTGTACCTGTCAGTAACATCCTATCAAGCTCACCACACAGTAACTTGACACTCTG